GCATTCATTCATCTCCAACTCTATATACTGTGGTGTTCCCATGAAAAGTACCAATGCACTATAATGTAATTTCAAAACTGTAAGGAAGAATTTTAAAATGCAAATGTCAGAAGTATTTTTTAAAATAAAATTCTAATAGATTTTAACACTATTAAGCATACATATGCACACACAGTTGTATTTGAAGAGCAGAGATTTTTGTGCTTTAGGAAGTATAATGCTTTAAAATTGTTTGCAAAATTGTTTGCATTTATCCAGAGAGAGGCTCTACAGTTTCCATGATATCTATAACCCCAAAAAGGCTAGATGAAAAGATGACAATAGAAGTCTACCTGCAAGCAACTATTTTCTAGTAGATTTAAGCCCTAGTGAAAAAAGTAGCACACAAATGATAGGTAAATCAGAACTGGTACAAGGCAAAATTGGAAATGAAAACTGGGTTACAACAATCTAATAGGGTCAGCCTCCAAAGTCCTGGCCCATCTGGCTGGGTGCCAAGTGTGGGAGAAAGGCAGAAACATGGCAATCAAAGAAGGAAGTAAGCACATCCCACACTCCCTTAAGGTTTAAGTTCTGGGAGGGGTGGAGAGTGAACCTGTAAGGGTGTGTCCACTTAATGAATAGATACGTTTGCCCGGTATCAAAAGGGGAGAGGGAATGGAATTTACATATCTAGCAAGCAAGCTCTCTTCCCCTGGTTCATTCCCCATCTCCTGTCACCCGACCCTTCAGTGTATACTTGATCAGGACCTTGTGACTAGTTCTTTCTGGCAGCTCCGCTTTAGAGGGTCTGACGAGAATACTTGGAACCCGCCCAGGTGTCTCTCTAGGTCGTTTTCCCCCTTCTTGGTAGGAGACTCATCACCCCTCTCAGGCCTGACCCGGAAATGTCCCGGCCCTCCCAACCTCCAACGCCTTGGGGTTAGATGGCCAGCCGGCCAGGCACCCGCACTCACTGTCCCTGCAGCTCCTCGTAAGAGGGGAAGGGCTTCTTGTGGTGCCGGGCCCGTGGTAAAAAGGCGGGTAGTTCTGGCAGCGACGACTGCAGTGGGGGTAACGGGCAGCGCGGGAGCCAGCGGCGGCCCTGTGCTGACTCGAGCTCCTGGCCCAGCCCGGCCACGTTGCTGTGCTGTCCACAGTGGTGGGACGAGGCAGTCGGCCGGGCACTCGCACGGGAGCTGCTCTCAGGACAAGCATGTTCCTGCTCGGCGGCCGGCAGCCCTGCGATGCTGGGGAGCGTGGCTCAGCTCCGCCCGGCCCGGGGCAGCTGCAGCCACGCCCGTCCAAAGCGCGCATCGGTTGCTAGGGGCCTGTCGCCTGGGGCTGCGGGGCTCCGCTCTACCGGGTTGCAGGCCAGTCCTGCAGAGGAAGGGACCTAGCCTTAAGGGACCAGGGTGGTTGCCTGGGTAAGATTAGGAGGCTGCCGGGATTCCAGGGCATGCACCAGAGGTCACTGCTTGGGGTGCTGAGGTGAGCAAGTGCTGAAACAAGGCTGGTTTATCAGCGGTCAGTTGTGACACAACACGAGGGGAAGAAGGGGAGGTAATGGGCAATCAGACAGGTGTATGTAGTTTCTGGGTTGTTTGCTCATCAGCTAGTACCAAAGGCTAACTTTTCAGATTTAAAGCAATCAGGCTTTCATGGGTATTTTAACCCGTACTCTTGATTCCTTTGAAAACTAGGGTGTCCCCTTTCAAAGCACAGCACACTAATTTTGCACAGTAGGATCTAAAGCCTCAGCACTTTGCCAAATCGTTGACACCTCCTCTACTAGAGCTGCAAAGTGCACATGATATGGTGTGACTCCAGGGAGACTGCTCAACACATACATACTTCAATTTTCCAACCCAAATTAGGCCTGGAACTTAAGTGGCCCACCACTTAGAACCACTTACATAGAATTATGTGGATTAAAGCAGCATTGGGACTCAATGATTGTAATCAAACCTTTATTACTAAATGGTTTCTTTTCATCCCTTTTTTTTGAGGGGGGCATTGAACTCAGGGGCACTCGACCATTGAGTCATATTCTTCACCTGTATTTTGTATTTACTTAGAGACAGGATGTCACTAAGTTCCTTAGTGCTTTACTAAATTGCTGAGACTGGTTTTGAAATCGTGATCCTCCTGCCTCAGCCTCCAGAGCCACTGGATTACAGGTGTGTGCCACCAGGTTCAACCTCATATCCTCTTGGTTATTACATTCCTACTTGAAACTTCTGCCATTTCTGTTCTGTCATCAGGGGTCTGAATTCTACCTCCTTTGTGAAAGCTTCCAGCTACATAGCATGAATAGTATTCTCTTAACATGTTCTATTACTAAATGAAGTCTTCCCCACTCCTCCTCCTACCATTCCCCATCACCAAATACCCAATGACTGCAACTGGAGACTCAAAATTTCAAATGGCTTAAGAGGTTAGAGCCAAGTGTCTACAATGTACCAGGAATTTTAAAAATTAAGTCTTACACTGGGGAGTGGCTGGGGAAAATGAATTCCAGATAGAAATGCTATAGCTGGAAGCAGAGATGCACACCTGTAATCCCAGCAACTCAGCAAGGTCCTCTCTCAAACACCAGTTCAGTGGTTAGGAGCATCTTGGTTCAATTCCCAGTAACAAAAAACAAGAACAGAGGCTGCTCTGACATCAAATCTGTCAAAATAGTGGGGGACTGCGTGCCTAGAATCCTGGCAACTTGGGAGGCTGAGGCAGAAGGATCCCAAGTTTAAAGCCAGCCTCACTGAAATGGTGACTTGCCAAGATCCTGTCTCAAAATAAAAAGGGCTGGGAATATGGCTCAGTGGTTAAGCACCATGGATTCAATCCTCAGTACCAAAAAGTGGAAAATATATATTTTTAAACCCCAAAAAAGAAAGGAACAGAAACTTGTCCATCTTCCTGTGGAGCTGGGCCCCAAAAGATATCAGGAGGCTCTGTACATCCCTGTAGCACTCAGCTTACCATATTTGTTGTCCATTTCATCCATCAGAGTGACAAAGTAGAGGTTATTTTATATTGCTCCCAGTTGTACATTTGAAGTGCTCAAATTTACGACCAATACCAAACATTTCACGAAACCTTTACATTAAATTTCCACTGAAATCCTATTACAACTGGTGCCAACATTTCCCCTACTTTACTAATTAAGAAACTAAACAGGACTTATTGGCCCAGACTGAGACTAGATGTGAACACAAGCAGCCTGGTGCCAAACTTGCATTCTTAATATAGACAACCAAAAAACAAATAATAGTATTTACAAATAAATACTAAGTAAAATGGAAATCAAGAGATAAGGTGACTTTTTGACCCTACTAGGTGCCAAGGTTCACATGAATGGGGAAGTGGAACATCTCTTTGCAAATTTAAAGAGGTAGGATTCAAGTAAGGTGCCAATCATCTTCTCCACAGTTCACAAAATATTTTCATACCCACACATTTCTATCCTCAGTTCTGTCAGATTATCATTTCACTTTATGCCCTAGGAAACTGCTGTCACCAGCAGACAGCAATGTTGTAAATTTTTCCTACTTACCCCCATACTCACTACAACTATCTATTGATTTCCTAATCCCACTGCATGAGCTTCAGAGTGGACAATCCTGGATCTCTACAATCCCTCCCTTGTTTCTCCACTCTGGTTCTATTTACAAGATGATATATCAATATAAATCCAGTGACTAACAAATGTAGCGCAGGGGTGGTGGTAGGGAGTTGAGATAAGAGGCTATATATGGAGACAGAGATGTGTGGTAACCCTTCATACTTTCTGCTCATTTTTGCTGTAAACCTAAAATTGCTCTTAAAAAAAAAATTCTGCTAAACACCACTACTCTATATCTAAGCACCTGTTATTCTTATCCCAATATAAAAATTTCCTCTAACACTGTAGTGTAGCCACCCACCTACACCTAAGCAGTTAGCAATAAAACTTTACTCTGATCTTGCAAAGGCCACTGATGGCCCTCACCATTGTCTAAAAACCTGTTAAGTCAACCAAGGTCTAACATCTTGTGAAATATGCCTCCATTTCAGGACAGTGGATGTGCGAAGACAGGGGTTTGGTACTCATTTAACAGCAAAAAGAGGATAAGCTTCAAAACTTAAAACTCTTTGGCTCCACCTAGAGATTAACATTATATGTATTTTTTTTAACACTGATCCTACAGTTCACTAAAACAAATTTCTGACAAAACACAGATATTCTCACAAACATGTAACATGATTTTATGAAATACTTTTTTTTCCTCCAGAATTCATGAACTCTTAAGAAACTAAGGCAGAGAAATAGCTTCTGGATCATAAATAAATAAATTCCTAATGTATTTGTCTAGAAACTTCAATTATTGAAAATCAGTTAATGATTCTGGTTTAATAGTGCCAAAAAAATCAACAAGGGATAAATTTCACATTGCTGCAATAAGGTCTCAGCAATAAAAATCAATGACTACATGGGGGCTGGGGTTATGACTTAGTGGTGGAGTGCTCACCTAGCATATGTGAGGCACTGGGGGTTTGATCCTCAGCACCACATAAAAATAAAATAGTGTCCACCTAAAATTAAAAAAAATTCAGTGATTACAAAAACTTTGCTTTCATTGTATACTTTGTTATCCTATACATGTAAAGACTTTTTATTTCAAAGTTTTGCTCACTCATTTCAATTTCACTTCTACTTAATATCCACAATGTATAATGGAATTACTAATATCTCATCTAAATTTGGGCAGAAGATGCAAAATAAGAATGAAAAAATGGAATACAAAAGGAAAAATAACACATTCACACGGTAGTTTTCAAACAAGCCAGTGTCTGAGAGACATGGGACTTCAGCAATTAAATGTGTATGATAAAATGAAAAGCCTCACAAACCCAAGAAATGTTTTTTCACAACATAAAAACTTGACCCAGGTTTTCTGTTGATATGACTGAATTTGTATACACATCAAGATTCACCATCATAGCTGAAGGAAGGCAGAGGCAGACTAACAAATCACCAATACATTGAGAGCAGGTACTGTTTTATTAACTGACCAGATTACAAAAATACCATGGTAGATACCTGAAAGGGAAAGAAAATAAACCTATTAAAGACTCTTAGCAGCTAAAGATTAACATTTAATTAGGGGTATTTTTAAGGACACCCAATTTCCATTTTCAAATTGATAAAAAGGAGGGGGGTTCCTTCCCTCCAGAAATGTCTTCAAAAGGAAGGAGAGGAGTAACTAAACCAACTAATCATAATATCACCCCTCCCCCACTGAAGAGTACTGATTATATTCAAAATCACCACATTCAATTATTAAAACTACTACTTTCTCCCAGGATGCAGTTTCTCACCTTAGTTCATCCTTCTAATAAGCCTGTTGATCTGGTCTTCCCTGTTGCCAGCATCTCCACCTTCTACAAAATGGGTGGTCTTTTTCTTCATTCCACCTCTTGGAGAAGACAATTTGAAGGGCCACAGGAAGTTATTTGCTTCTTTGAAGCGTTTTCCAACAGTGTAAATCTCATGAATCAGATCTTCCATGCAGATGATGCCATATTTACCTGGAAAAAAATTCATTTGTGATTGCTTAAATTTTAAGGCATACAAAAAAAGCACAATTACAGGCTGAGCTAAACGCAAATCAAAAGTAAACAGAATCATGTATATCTAAAAAAGAAAAAGAAGTAAACAGAAGGGCGCCATATTGCATGCTTGTGCCTGAGTCACTGGGATTACTGGCACAGGCAGAGACAAAAGACAGAAGTTTGAGGGCACCGTCTCAAGATAAAAACTAAAGGGCTTGGGATGTAGCTCAGTGTGCCAAAGCACCCGTGTCAAGATTCAAGCAAATGAAATTATCTCATGTTTTCTTTAAAGAAGGATTATAGGAAATAATGTGAAGGTTCATTAGTGAGAAAATTAAGGACATGAGAGGCCATAAAATTTCACCATCTAATATCAAACTTCCCCCAAACAAAAAGAACCTACCAAGAGATCGAGCAATCAAAGCGTTATCTGTCAAGGCAATTCGTTTTTTATTGATTTTGCCATATCCACGCTTGTAGATTAGTTCATTCACTGATTTCAGGTTTGGGTACCTGAAATACGAAAAGCAGACGTACATGATCAAAGAAAAAGGTTACTGCTATCAAAACATCTAAAATTCACCTCGCTATACCAGTCTATTTGCCAAGCAGAAATCCAAGAAAAAAAGGCACTCACCCCCATGCAATGTAAGGTTCCACGATCCTCAGCATGTTAATTGAAGCCTTGTTGAGCTTAACAAAGGTGCCATTGAAGATCTGGCGAAGGCGAAGAAGTTGTAGCACCTTACGAACCTTTGGGCTCACACCATTGATACTGCAGTGAAAAGGGACCAAAAATTTTTTTTAAAATCAGTTTTTACTATCAACTGACAGGAAACTAAACAAACTGATCACACATGTCCCACAAAAACCAAATATCACTGATGTTTTTCCTCTTTACCCTATAATTCCCACCAACCTGCTTCCTCTCCAACTATTTTTGATAAGTACCAGTAAAAGGTCCTGACTTGTGTTATCACCTGTCTTTGTTATAGCACGACAGTGACTGTACACTTTAACTTCTTTTGAAATCAACTGACAGGACCCTGAACTCCTCCTGATTTAATTAGAGTAGACAGGAGCTTTAGGACAGGGCTTGTAACTAACCCCTTAAAATGACACCCACGCCTTTTTTCTAGTCACACCTAAACATTGTTATTCCCATGTTTTAGATCAGTCCTTCCTGAATTAACAGGAAATTTTACTGAGGCTTCTAAACTTCCCTTTAAACCAGATACAGTAAAAACTGAACTTACCCTCTGATCCTGATAACAAATGCCAATTTGGGTTCTGCAGGTACATAGAAGTTGCCGGCTTTTCTTGCCATTCTAGCCATCCGAATCTCCGTTCTGTACATTTGCCTATATTCCTTGTGGTAATGCTTAGCTTTTTCATAGATTAGCTTCCTCCTTGCCTTTCGAAGCTGAAAAACAATTACCAATTATTCATGATTCTTAACTCCCAAACAATTTGCAATAGCAATTTTTAAAATAATCTTCCCTTGAAATTTTTCTTGCCATAGTACAGTTAACATTTCCAAAAGCTACATTAGGAAGCTTCAAGCAATTCCTTGGTACAACAGTGAAGTAAACAAGTCTAGCTAAGAACATTCACTTCATTCTCAATCCCAACCACATGGACTCCCCTCAAAGCTTAGTGCATCCAAACATTTACTTACCATCTTTTGGGCAAACTTCTTCCTCAGGCGCTTTACCTTCAGCTCTGCATAATTCCTTCGCTTTTTCTTAAGAGTTTCTGGCACAGCAGGAACCTTCTTTTTCTTCTCTCTGTCATTAGCATACAAAGAATATTATCAATAATTCAGAAACCTTTCTGCCTTGCATCACTCCCGTGCTGTACTGAGCAAAGTGTTAACACATGGAGCATCGGTGGCTCTTCACCATCACTGGTATCTTAAAAGTTACCCTAATATGCTCCAGTCTCACAGAATTTTTAAATTTCCTTCAGTAATTTTCCCTTCTAACACACATGTCAGATAATGTCACATTTGCGATTGTGGTTTAACAGAATGAACATTCCAGCTCCAGTCCTGGCCTCCAACAATTATACCTAAGAAAATATACCTAGAAAACAGCTACACAAGACGTATCAGAACCTTAAGACTGCTACAAAGACACCTAACTTTCTGCCTAAAGAACCTGGGATTCTCAAAAATAAAAAGGCCAAATTCCACTTTGGTTCAAGTCCCAAGCCACGCATACTGAAAGCAAAGGCCTGTAAGCAAAAAACGCCCGAGGATGAATTCAACTCAAGAGGTTTTGTACCGGCCTCGATATACCTCGGTTCCATCGAGGAATGGACCTCGGCCCAACCGGCTTGGATGCACACATAAATTCTGCGCTGGTACCTCGTTCCCGGTACTTCCAAAACCTTCACCCTACGGCCGCCCGCATCCCATCCCAGCTCGGGGTCCCTACTGGTGTCATGGAGCGTCACAAACACACAGATAAGTGGGAAAAGGTAAGAAGTACAACCAGACAGGGAAAAACGGAGACAAATGGCCTATATTTTCGGGGATGGAGAAGGATTCTCGAGAGGACGAGGAGTAACTTACTCGGCACCCTCCATGGTTCCAGCCGGAAAAAGAGGAAGTTGGCGCACGCGCACTGCCCACTTAAAGACGGCGAGAGAAGCCCCACGATTTATAGGCGTCCTAAAATAAGCCGGAAAAGAACTCGGAGCTGAGAGCCCACCTTGAAGTTGCAAAATTAAGAAATGCCCGATTTAGCTTCTTCCAATCAACTTTTGGGGGAAACTTTTGTGGGAAAAGCAAATGCAGTAGTTAGACTTTAATCAATTCAAGTGCAAAGAGTGGTGACACCTTGACTGCTCGGGGTCCTAATCCCTAGGTTGCGTTGACAGGATTAGCTCGACTTCCACCTTGTAAATTAACCAAATAACACGCCTCTGGGGAATAAACTACAAACCCCGGCATGCATCACTCCATGGTCCGCTCGACGGGAGGGAGACGCCTGACCAGGGCTGTGGGTAACCACCGGGGTGGTGATTTCAGCCAGGAAAATGAGAGCCTTTGGGATAATGTCCCACACAGGTAGCAGCGATTCGAAGCCACTTTTGGCCGCTTCTCAACTCTCTGCCACCCATAGTCAGACTCTGGCACCCGCCTTGCCGCGCTGCCGAGGTCCTTCTCGTTGTCCTCTAGCCTTCAGGGCTGTCTTCCGCAGCGCCGGATCTCAGGCGGGGCAGTCTGAAGTCCCCTGGCTAACGAAAGTGGCAAGACCGGGAAGAGCGAGGACGCGACGGCCAGGGGATGATGGCCGGGGCTCCGCCGACCGCGCGGCCTGACAGGCGGAGGCCGGGACGACCTACGGCAGGGGGCGTGAGCTGCGAAGGGAGGTGCAATGAGAGCTGGAGGCTGCGGCCACGGCCGTGTGAAAGGGGCTGCCCCGCGCTGCTCGGCGGACGACGGGCGGAGGGCTGGGGGCTGGGCCGGGGGCGGGGTGCGCCCGGGGGCGGGGAGGGCCGAGCGGAGGGAGGGCCGAGCCGATGCCGCCGCCGGCTCTTCCCCGTCGCGGGTTATATAGCGCGGAGCTTGGAACCCGCTCACAGCCGGCCGGGAGCGCTCCAACTTGCAAGCGGCGCTGTGCTGCGGAGCCCGGTACCCGAGTGACAGCCGCGGGGAGTGCAGGGCAGGGGGACACGAGACCGCAGGGGCAGCTGCAAGCCGTTGGGCAGCGCTCGCCTGAGCCTACCGAGTCCCCCCTTTCCGGCGCTCCGCTGCCCCGCACCCCACTCTCCCACCCTCTCGCAACTTGAGTCAAGTTGACAACTCCTGCGGCAGCCGGCCAGCCGGTGCGGTCTCCACCGCTCATTCCTTCCCCGGGGTGAGAAGGAGCCGCTGCGCCGGCTCCGGGGACGCTCGGGCGGCGGCAGCTTGGCCATGAGGGCAGTGCGCGTCGCCTAACTCACGGCTGTCACCGCCGCTGCAGCGGGACCGGCCGGCAGGACTCTCCGGGACAGGCGGGCGGCCGCCGGCAGGAGGCGCCGAGCCGGGCGGCAGCCGCGGCGGGCACAGCCCGGGGCCACTGCGCGGAGCCCAGCACCGCGCTAGCAGAGAGCGGCGCCGCGCACTGTGGTCCGGCGGGCACCTCGGGGACAGGCGCGGGGTGCAGCCTTCTGGTCCCGGCCGCTCTGACAAGGGCTCCTTTGGTGTGCCTGGCGCGGGGTGGGCGCGGACAGGGGCTCTGGGCTCGCGCGGGCCCCCGGGCGTCGCAATGAACATCGTAGTGGAGTTCTTCGTGGTCACTTTCAAAGTGCTCTGGGCGTTCGTGCTGGCCGCGGCGCGCTGGCTGGTGCGGCCCAAGGAGAAGAGCGTGGCCGGCCAGGTGTGCCTTATCACGGGCGCCGGCAGCGGCCTGGGCCGTCTCTTCGCGCTGGAGTTCGCCCGGCGCCGGGCGCTGCTGGTGCTCTGGGACATCAACACGCAGAGCAACGAGGAGACGGCGGGCATGGTTCGCCACATCTACCGCGACCTGGAGGCAGCTGATGCCGCCGCGCTGCAAGGTAACTCGGACTCATGCCCGAGCATTGTTGGGTAAAACCTCTCCCCTCCCTGCACTCTCCCCTGGAAGGTCCCCAGATCCCACTGTCATGGTCAGCCCCGCTCTAGAGAAAAAGAATACCCTATCATTCTTTTGGAAAGCGAGTGGAATTTACCCCCTAATAAAAGAGAATGATCACCGCACTATTGGAAGAAGGAAAGTGTGCCAAACCCAGCCCTTTAAGGAGGTCCGTCCCTTTGGGGACGACTCTGGTGTTTCCTATACCCTCTGAGCCTAGGGAAGGCAGAGGGAACTTGTTACCTCAGGATGAATTCCTTAAGAAATGTCTCTTGCTTGCATGCGCATGATGGGAAACAGAAGCGTCTTTGAGAAGTTGTTCCTAGACTGGACTGTATCAGTGTATATGTGTTACTGCGGTCTGAACCCCTTAGAAGAGGGCAGTATTGATGGTTTCGCTATAACTTTAGCCAAAAGAAAATAATTACATTGTTTCGCCTGCGATAAGTAAGTGCTTCAGTTACTTACTACAGATCCCAGCATGATTGAGAGATGACCTGCCTCTTGAGAAAGTTATTGAAGGATTTCAGCTTCATGAATTCATGTAAATTTCTTTCATGTTTCTGGTCACCCCAGTCTGCATTTTTTGTATAACCTGAATCTGAGACTTAAGAAGAAGACAAGAAGAAAAAGCCTAAGTGGAAACTGTAACCAAACATAAAATATTGGTCCAGGAAAATTTGATGATTGTTCTTGCTTTTTGACAGAAGTTTTCATTTCCAGGAGAAATATTGAACTATATGAATATTTATTTGAGTGCCACTCTTTCTCTCTGTCCATCATTTGTTACAGACTTCTTGGCACCTGCTTTCTTGATTTAAATTTGGAAATGATGCTAGTGTGAAGAGGTAGCAAATACAGATTGTGTGTGTTCCCTTCCAAAACCTAAAAGATAAGGGTTTCCAAAGAAGAGATTTTGTTTTTAAGCCATTCAAGTTTTTATGTGGCCCATTAATTTATGTTCCACCCCAATAAGAACAAGTCAGTGGCCCTACTTTTTCATGAGAAACTTTAAATTCATTTTTTGCCTATGGATGAATTCAGATTATTATTTACAGCTTTGATTTATAAACTTTAAAGTGAATTTCTATTTTGATGGTGCTCATACTGAATATTAAGAGCTATTTCTGGTCAGTTTCCCCCAGCTCCCCCTCCCACCCCCCCCAAAATAGGAATGTGTAATGTGTATGTGTGTTATTCTCTGGGCTGAGATCTGTTCTTTGCAGGTGTCTTTAGCTCCAGCAAGCTGATCCCATGTGGTCTACTTGTTTTGGGCTTGTCACAATTACATGACTTTCCCCTAAGCAAAGTTATCCAGTAAATTGCTGCAATTTCCAAAGACGGGGGGGGGGGGGGGGGGGGGGG